ATCTGCACATCCACTGCCATTCAACATGAATCAGGTTGATCGGCACAAACTCTGACAATAACTGAACTAATATGCTAAAAGCAAAGATTGAAATGGCTCGCATTAAATAAGAATAGAATGTATGGAAATTCTTTACTAGCAGATAAACTGATTTGCATTAAATGTGCAGACAGAAAGCCAGGCTGAATCTAAAATAAATAAGTGACCGCGTTCAAGAGAACGATGGTCTTAAGCAGAAATGATACTTCTCAAGCAAACCGAAATAATCAGATCTATCACGCGACAGTATATGCAAATGCAAGCTTAAAAAACGAGGTTAGATAATCCGGAATCTTGGGAAAATAAAATGGCTTCCAGATGCCATCTCACATAATTCAATTAAGGTATTTCGTCTTACAGTGAATTAGTTACTTTTATAATTATATTATTTTATGTCAGCTCCATAACTCTTTTTAATTCATTATTTCCTTAATGTTTAATTGGCAACTTTGCATCTTGCATGCCATAATATTCGTAAATTGAGTGCAGCTGTAAACTTATGAATGCTGCTATTCGAAACTGGTTTATTATTGCCATGCATGCACGCTTATTTGCAACCTCTATTCATCACTTATTCATTCCTTATTCCAGATAATATGAATTTTATTTCATGAGAAAGTTACATTTTAGCTTAATTATTATTTAACCCAATTAGTTGAACCTACTTGTTTCGATCAGCGTAGCTTCTATTTGACCTGTTTGTTAAATCATCATTTATTTTGTCTTACGGCATGTAAGTCAACCAGAAAGTCGTTTGCCAAGTGAGGCCTAAATTGTAATTTACTCTTCATCAGGAGAAATGTATAGTGTCCAAACAAATTGTGAATATAACCTTCTTGTCAAACGCATAGTAGATAAATCTATTATCAGTCCCTTCAACGATGAACGGCCAATAACATATCATGGCTCTAGTGAAGAGCTATGGAATTAGGGCCTGCAAATAAATTGTCGACGAATGTCTTTTACACAAGAACTTGTATGTTACGTTATTGTTGGTACAGTTGGCATCTTCAAATGTATATGGACACAGAGATCTTAATTAATTGCTTAAACAAAATGCTTTTTAATAAAGACATATTTATTTAGATAGGAATAATGGCTTTTTAGAAACCAATTTAATCTTTTCTTTAGAATTTGATACCAATGAGCCAATCAATCAGCTTCATTTGTAGAATTGGCACCTTCAAATGTATATGGACACAGAGATCTTAAACGATTGCTTGAACAAAATGCTTTTTGATAAAGACGCATATTTATTTAGATAGGAATAGTGGCTTTTAAAAACCAATTTAATCTTTCATTTAAAATTTGATACCAATGAGCCAATCAATCAGCATCATTAGTAACCTTAAATTTTCAGCCGCTGTTTTGATGAACATTTATAACAGTCCTTTTTTGAGACCACGGTAGCTTAAGAGTCACTGCCATTCGTGCTTTCTTAAATCAGGCAGACCATCATCCTTTCATATAGAAGGAATCTTTAGGGCGCGAAATCTTTCTTATCACAACTTCGCAGGTAGATTTAGTCATTATCTTAAAAGTAAATTCGTCTATTCTCAAATCTGCAAATTTATTTATCAATGGCCAAAAAAGGGATTTCACTTTCATTCATATCGTGCATGCTTGAAGAAGATTGCTGTTCTTATTCAGGTCCATAAAACAAGATCATATTTATAGTTTCGATTATCGAATTTCAGTAGAGTTTGTAACTAAAGCAATGTATCACCGAATTACATACTGATATTCACTGACTCTGTAATTATGACTCTCATTTTGTGAACACTCACATGCTTAAGCAGAAACGATTTCATATTTTATAGCAATTAGTAAATGGTTATTATATAAATAAAGAGTAAAGATAAATCTCTGTAGGAATACGTAATTTGCACAGGAGTGTTACGATTTCGAGGAGCAAAAATGTTTGAAGCTGATATTTGGCTATTTCAATATAATATTTTTAATGAAACTATAGGGATTCAGAAAACCCGCAACTATTCATGCTGATTATGTGTCATTGTCTGATCCATAGCTTATCAGGTTATGCCTCACAAGTTATAATGGTAAATCAGATATATGAAGACCACGATGGTGTGATCATCGGTATGGTCGCAGTCTCCTTTCGATTTATAGAAGTGATTTGACTTCGTTTTCGCAACTTGGTCTTGTTGTCAGGGCGACTTAGTAGGATGACCTTGTCAGTAGTTATCATAATTCCCAGCATCAGACCTTGGGCTTGGCATTCACAGTTTGTTCAGGCAGCACAGGTTTACTCAAGAAGACGGCCCTTGAAGACAATGCCTAATATCTGCAAGAAAGGGTATCAGAGAATGGGCGCTCTGCTCGGTGAAGCGGCAGTTTATGTGTTTTTAAGACCTTGAGAAACAGAAGGTGTGATGAGGCCACACTAAATTTGCCAAAAAATGACAGACATTTTGACGAATGGAATAGAAACGAGTCAGAAGTTGTGATAGAGCGGGAGTTGGATGAGAGGATAAGGAGTGGACGAAAAAAGGAGTGACAGTGTAACCGTTTTCGGCAGAACGTTTGTCGAGAGATCGAGTTCATTTGTCTTTTTGACGAGTTCGTAGTTTGGTGTGGAGAATGGCAGCACTCACGGATGATGCCGACTACGATGCCGGCAAAACGTCTGAGAATGAACCACGTCCACGGTCCGATGCTGGCAGAGAACTTCGGACAAAGTGCGTTCTTCTAAGTCGCCATGACGACAAGACCAAGTTACGATAACAAGGTCAAACCATTTCTATAATGGAAAAATTCGTCTTTTTTATGATGGTGAAAGACGTCATAACAGATTCTAAGAACGGATATTCGCCAACAAAGTAAACACTAAATGGCGCTTAATGTGAGAGCATTGTAAAGTTGTGGATTGTGGATGTTTCGATGATTCTTTCTTATTAACAAGTAGACACTTGTCAGCTCAGAGTAGTGGCTAGCCTTTATTAACCTTTGACCTCGACCATACTTAGAAATACTTAGTCGGGTAGATAATTACTGGAAGATTAGCTGGATACTTAGGCTTAAGGCGGGATTGACAATTAGATACAGTATTGTCTCTCATTCCTTATTTTAACTTTTGCCTCTGATTAGCAATTGTGAGATTGCCCATCTACCAAAACCGGCTAAATAGGCTATCAGGAGGATATATTAGACAAAGGTAGCTACAGCAGAACACCTCAGATCCAAACTATATCAGAGCCCTGGGCCAAGAGTGTGTGTCTGTCTGGTCTTCTTCGTGGCCATCGTCAGACGAATGCCTTCTTCTTTCCGTCAAATGGGCGACATTTGGGTCCAGTTGCGTCATGGCCAAGGTTGGGAAGACAAAAATGAGTGAAAATGGCCCTATTGAAACTGGGCTGTGCGGTGTGTGCAGTTTCGGTGGAATGCAGCAAGGTCTGCAAAGAGAGTGAGAACGAATGCTTCCTATCCTTTACTTCATCCTATCGCTCCGAGTTCGGCCATCCCGAATGCACTTTAGCTCCGGCCTATTCACTTTGCCAAACAACATAAGCAAGGCAAGATCTGCAGCCAAAGCTTGCCCATTTTACCAAGCACTCCTCCGTCCATCATCTTCATCTTCATCATCATCATCATCATCATCACAGGTTGTGCTGACAATATATCTGCTGCTTATGCATGCGAATTGTCTTTCACCACTCCGTCTTGTTCGGATGACCTGTCCGTTCGAGTCCACGTCTTTGTTTTGCGCTGGAGGAGCTCTGAGCTTATTGCACCCCGTCGAAACCTTTTATAAGACGGAAGATGCATGGGCCTGTGATGTTTTGCAGTTCCGGTATCCTTAAAGACACACGCTATAAGGCTTGCAGCTTGTTTGAGCTCTAAAATAATACATCTTAATTCATACGGAATATGCGCCTAGTCTAGTCTGGCCTGACCGTCTGTCGTGTCGTCCAGACATTCAGGCAATTCGGCAGCTCTCAACTCTGTAAAGACTAGAGGGTACCCAAAAGAGCAGCATCAGTAGCAGAACTATTTCAAAACCCTACAGGTAATAATCAGAAAAGTGAAACTAATACACTTTGGCTCAGAGATCCGAAATAATATATTACA